ACTGAGATAGTGAGGTTTCCAAAATCTTTGGAAAACACTAAACTGCAGCTTTAAATGTTCTTTTATGAAGCAGTAAAAACTTTTTATGATGAGGGCAAGAAAAGCCACTCCAGAAATGAAAATGCTACTATCTGCATAATGTTCACAGCTTTCCCAGTCATTCCAACTCTGATGAGCTAACAATCCCATGATGCAGTTGGATTAGATTGGAACAGTTAACAATAACAGATGAAATACAATTCATGCTTTATGAATGAAGGAATGGGGTTTAACCTAAAATAAACAGTAAACATGATCCGTCGATCGAAGTCAGGTGGAAAAAGTATGATGTGACGGATGTTTTGAGGTATTTTGTTGAGAAGCTGGAATGGAGCAGATCACATGCAAGCTGCAAACCCCTAAGAGTAAAACTACACATATACGTATATTAGGCAAAACTCTTAACATCAGGGCAGCAGCCAACTGTTTTCCACACCTCAATGAGATCTGGGACTGATGGCTCTCCTTCCAAAACATTTTTTTTCCCCCAGCGGCCTGTTTAATATTTAGGTTAAGACATTTTTTCATTTTGTCATTTATGGATTTAACTGCTTGATAAACGATGAAAGGGGCTCTTACAGCCGCTTTGTTTTGGAAACTGTGATATCTCAGATGAGACCTACATCATAAATAAATAACACTTCAATCTTACATACTTCCGAACATTGTGGGGTCTTAAAGATGAAAAGTACAATTATGTTACTTCAGTATGAAAAGTTGTTGATTAAGTTTGTCAAGTGGAGCATTTAAACCAGACTGTGTGAGTGTCCTGGCCTGAAGACAATAATGATGTCCCTGTTCCAGATGTGTCTCAGTGCAGAAACGCCAGCAGAGCTGAAAGCCAGCGAGCCATCAAAGATCCTCTGACCCACAGAAGAAGTTCATACACTGAGAGTTTCCACAGACTCACAGACTCGGCCAGCGTGATCTGCAGACACCTCCTCCTTGACTGGGCCTTGCTCCTTTTGTGCCTGTTAGCGGAACAGAGGAAGAGGAGGTGAAAAGTCACATTTCGAGGTTTAGTCACATCCAACTCCAAAGGAATCAAATGAAGAGATGATTACTGACAGTTTTGAAACTCAAAAATATAGTAAGCTAATAAACGTACACTGCCCCACAAAACAACAACAACAAAAAAACACTCAAAAAACGCATCATAGATCTAAAATAAAAAAAACAAAACAAATCTCATTGAATACTTGAATACAAAGATGAATATGCGGACAACAAAATAGCAAGAAACACGATTAAATCCGGACCTTAACCAATTAAGGCCCGGATTTGGAGTCATACACAAATGTATATTGGAAAAAAACACAAACTTTGAATGTCCTTAAAAAATGTCAAAATGACACATGGAGGGCTGTAAAGCCTCAAGTGTGTTTCCAGACTTTGTCAAGTCTGTGAAATTTGGTCAGGCAAGTGCACAGGGCGCTAGTGGTTAATTTACCAAACCTGGTGTTCTCTGGCAAATGCCAAACATCCTGCATGGGGTGGTGCTGCAAGCTCTAACCCATCTGTGGACATCGGGCCCTCATACCATCCTCATGGAGTCTGTATCTACCAGTTTGTCCAGACATATGCACATTTGTGGCCTACTGGAGGTCATTTTGCAGGGCTCTGGCAGTGCTCCTCCTGTTTCTCCTAGCACAAAGGCAGAGGTAGCGGTCCTGCTGCTGGATTGTTTCCCTCCTATGGCCTCTTCCACCTCTCCTGGTGTAGTGGCCTGTATACTGGTAGCGTCTCCAGCCTCTGGACACTACACTGACTGACACAGCAAACCTTCTTGCCACAGCTTGCATTGATATGCCATCCTGGATGAGCTGCAATTCCTGAGCCACTTGTAGAGTCCGTCTCATACTATTATGAGTGTGAAATTACCACCCACTTTCAAAAGTGACCAAAACACCAGCCAGTAAACATAGGTACTGAGAAGTGGTCTGTGTTCCCCACCTAAGGAATAACTCCTTTATTGAGTCTGTCTTGCTAACCATCAATAATTTCCACCTGATGTCTATTACATTCTCATAACAGCATGTGAAATTTCTTGTAAATCAGTGTTGCTTCCTAAGTGGACAGTTTGATTTCACATAAATTGGATTTAATTGAAGATATATGTTGGTTCATGTTTTCCCTTTACTTTTTGAGCAGAGATTAAAAGCAAAGTTAAGTTCCAACATTTCAATCATCTAGAGACTTCTGCAGAAGTGAGAAGCACTGAAAACAGAATCAGGACACTGACCTGGCAACGGCACGTATGCAGCAGCGGGACATGTTGATAAAGGACGAGGATGAGGCTCTGGTTTGTAATGTGGTCTCGATGCCCCTCAGAAGGTCGTTGGTCTTCAGCAGCAACAGCATCTGTCTGGGAACTCGGTTCAACAGGTCACTGATTTGAGGCAGGTAGAGAGCGGCGTTGGTCCGTATCTCGACGTCCTGCAGACAGAAAAAACTGATCACTACTTGGTGCATCTTTTGCTTTAAGTCGACATTTATACATCATAACTTGAATCAAGCTTATAATTCAACCTTTAAGCTCCCTCAAAGATGAATGTTAATTTCTATTTTCACAATTCCCATTCTAAAAGTAGCCTTTGTTGATTGGTTTGTTAACCACCATTGAGTCCATCACTTCAGCTGTGGAGTAAACTAGGTTTTTACAAAACTGTAACTACGGACTTCCATAAGAATCCAAGCTGAAGGACGGGGGTAAGGAAACAAGAACAAAAGAGCAAAGGGAAAAGAAAAGACGCAGGAAGAAAGAAAGCAGCGTTTACCTCAATGGAAACCATTTGTTCTCTTTGATGTTGCTGCTCGAGCACCACTGTCTTCCTCTACTCCACTTCAAAGGTTCTGCCTGCTGCACATCAGCCGGCCTAAATTACACTATTAGTCATGGAGGAGAGTGGACTGCAGGCTTACAGTCCTTTAGACACTCAGCAGTCTTTAAGCAGAGAGGAAAACCAGGACGCGAACAATCTGCACAAGGACGTGACGTTACAAAAAGCTCTCAACCGCTGTGAAATCAGGAGCTGATTGAAAACTAAATTGACAATTTTAATTCCAGACATAATGATGAGTTTATTTGATGTGTTTTATTAACCTGTATCAGCGCAGGTATAAACTGCAATAAGAAGACACACCCCAATGACTTTTCTACATCCAACGGCTCAAGATGTCGAGCAAAACAATTGTAATTAAGAAAACATTTTCACCAGAAAATAGTGTGTTTTTTTGTGTTTGCAACCATTTAAATTTGTAAACATTTTTGAAATATAAAAGAAGCATAAAATGAATAAATTAGTTTTTTTTATCCATGTTCCAGGTGGTATAATTTTAAAAAAGAAAGTCTGACCTTTAGGTGTGCTTCAGAGCTTACTTTCTCCTTTTTTTAAGCACTTACTGAATGTCTGTGACATTTATTTCTGTGGCAATATATCATTTCTGCTGGACTGTGAGAACGGCTTTGAATTATAATGGTCACTTATTCTGCAAAA